TTAGAATTAAAAACGCATTTAATTTTTACTCATTCGAAATAAATTCTCCGCCTCTCAGCAACCGGACATTGACTGTGACATTCTGTAAACATTGGTGAATAACTTCTGCATGCATTTGTTCATACTTATTATATAAAAGCTCTATGTCAGTAATTTCTTACTTTTGTACGCACTAAAATTTCATATAACTCCGCTAAAATTTAAAATTTAAAAAAAATCATAATTGCAATTTGCAGTATTTAAAAACGCCTAGAAAATATGTATTTTCATTTTCGTATAATGCCTTCAACAGACTGCGCAGACTTTCGCGTAAGTAAGCCTAATCCGTATTATTCGAGGATGTTGTGTGAAGAATCATACCTCGTGTTAATACTCCAGGCAAATTCTCCGTGGTACTTTCACAGTACTTAAAATGCTTTCTACTTAAATCTTGAACGTATATTACCTACGCGACTGCTCTATTAGATGTGTCTTGGGGTGTGGGCACCAGAACCTGGACAAATTCGCATTCCGCGATTAATGTGAATCTAGTGGCTTTGTAGGACGATTACCAAGCGGGATGACAGATATAAGAGTTCTTCTGTGCGATCACTGTGCGTCAACTTTGTAATAACTATATCTAAGGATCATCGTTCAAGTGTCTTATCGCCACCTATTTGGCAGGTTTCTGATTCTTGTTAAATGCGGAATAACTAATTTACATGGTACAAAATACCGTTCTGCTATATGCGGTTTAAATGTGTTCAGAATGTCGGCATAAACTGCTGAATATTCTGCCAATTTGGATTTGCTTTACAGTGTACTGTTTACAGAAACATCACTCAATTTACCACATAGTTGTTTACAACCGCAGATTTTGTCCCCATATGAATTACATCGTGCTTTATCTGGCTAATGGCGGCCAGTAAGATACGAATTGCCATAGGTCTGCGGTGGCATAGCGACTGCATACTATAATTACTGCAATTTCCTTTGTGCGCGTCACCGCTTTCTGCCACTGCCTCTGATGGTGTTTTCAAGTGAGGACCAGAAACGTAGGCGAATAGAGACCTTGTCCCAGCGATCGCTTCTTCTTCTGATCAACCTGCTTAACTAAACTAAGATCCCTGCTATGAGAGCTAATCTTGTTGTGCGAGATAATAACGGAGAAAATCGTCCACTCTCACCTGCGACATATTTCGACATATACAAAAAGGGATGTCAATACGTGTTTCAAAGTCGGCATACCGCTACGTATGAATACAAAAATGGTATTTGGTCAAAACTAGCAAATCTTCATTTGCAAGAGGACAGGGATTCATGATTGTAATCAAAGAGCGAGGTCTCAAGTGATAGAATGTCGCTTGAGTGCTGAACATATAAATTAGTCCTCTACTATTGGCCAGGGTTATCGCCGATGATATGCTTATGTTATGCCGATGATATGATTTCAAAAAAGACATACACCATTCAGATGTATTACTTGTAGGTTCTTTCTGTTTCCTCCGAAGAACATGCGAGAAGAAACTTCCCTTCCCTTTAATAAGGGTGGCCATACGATAAATTTAGTTAAAGGTATCGATAGGCGTGTCAAAACATCAACAGGAATGTAAGGATGTAAAGCAGGCGTGGAGAGCAGAATTTATTGGTACGACTAAATTTTACGATGGCTTATCAACTGCAGCCTGTCGTTACATAACACAATAAACATGTGAGGAAGGTAGAGTGGTTTGAAATTTGACATAGAAAATCAACGTTAACTGCAAGGGCATCGTATAGTACGCGTAGACTAATCAATAAAATGGTAACTTCAGAAGGCAATATATTAAAGAATGTTGGGGAATTAATACGCCGAAGTAGCCATTCGGTTGACACAAAAGCCTCTTTTTGAGCAGTAGTTCGAGCATGAACGGCTTGATTATTGCGCTACCTGGAGGCAGCTAACAAACGGCGGGATAAACCCGACCTTGTAAACAGTGATACCACGCGGTGAATCTCAGCTTGCACTGGTAGACAGGAGCCCTTTTGATTTTCTAAATCCCTCGGCGTGTTTCCTTCACCATTTCCTTTTCTATGTTGCGTTTTTAAGTTACCATTCTATTGGTTAGTCAACGCGTAGTATACGATAACCCTGCAGTTAAGAATGATCATATATGTCGAAGTTCAAACGTGTGTACCCCTCTCAAATGTTATTTGTGATATGCAGCGACAGGCTGCAGTTGAAAAGCCGCCGCGAAATTTAGTGGTACCAATAGTTTCTGCTGTGCACGCTCACATTAATTTTATTAAGGGTAAATATTGCCTCAAATTTAAATACAGTACCTCTGCTAACTCATGAAATGCCGAGGTCAAAATTAGAGTAGAAACTGTAGCGTATTTTTGCGTTGTTATTTGTGTTTATTTACTTTAAATAAGGACGAAAAGGTCGTTTGATGAAGGAAAGTTCGATACAGATATGTATATTAAATAGAAAACGGGCCGAATTTAGGTGACATCGGAGGATTCTTAATATTCAAGCAGTTCCCTGCGCTATTAAAGCTATCAGAAAGAAATTCTTTGTTTTACCTTATTAATCTGTTTAAGAAGATTAATAAAAGGAAGACTTTTCAATAAACTTTCGTATAAAAAGAAAAAATTAAATTTCAATATCCAGAAAATCGAGGAAATGCAGACAAATTATAACTTATTGTGTTCAGGAAATAAGGTGCAATTCTTCATCTAAAAATTCTATTTTTCAAATCCATTGCCTATTACTCTTAAAATATACTGACCTAAACTGACCTATTATGTTTAAAAATACTGAAATAAAAGATTTATCAATGTGATTGTTTTACCAGACCGAAAATGCGTATCGTAAACGAATATATATTAAGTTCGCGCGACATGCCGTCACCTTTCTCTGTCACGCCAAAAGATACCTATTTCTAAACAGAACTTATCCGAAGTTGACTTTCAGCGTATTCGAAAATTAGCGGCGGAGGGAATCCAGAGTGAGTCTTTAGCTATTATTTTCAATATTAGTAATGTCACTCTGTGGCGCATCATTAATAATAAAACGGTTCCTAAAAATAAGATAGGGTACCCAAACGGTTCACAAGTAAGCAAGACGATGATTTTATTTGTCGTAAATTTAAAAATTTTATGATATGTTCATTGAGACCATTCAACGGGAACATCTGCCGATGTTCTCTATAAACATCGTTAGGAAAAGCATAAAGGAATTAAAAATGCTGCGGCGGAAGGCAATGATTAAGCCACATTTAAGTAAAAAGCTAATTAGAGAACGACTTTTATTTGCTAAGAATTATATTGATTACAGGTCCTCATTTTGGAAGAGCATTTTCTTCTGCGATGAGGTTTTATTTTAAGACAAGCCTACGAAATCGCTCCAAGCCGTCATATGTGGAAAGAACTTCCCAAGAGAACGCACTACACCGACGGCAACATGCAAGAACAGTCGGCGGATAATGGTTTGGATGGCGATTAAATTCGGTGAGCGGCCTGTCTGGCGGTCAACATCCGGCACCATCAACAGCAAAATGTTTATTGCAATTGTCAAGGTTCCTTTCGGCTACAGCGGCATAAGTCGGCGCTGAATGGATACTGTAATTTTGCACGGCGATGCACTTGTCCACCGCTCTAAAGAGGTACGAATTTGATGACGCTTGCAAATATAATCTAACATTTCAGACAACAACCACCCTCTCCGCAATTGGCCTCCAACCCATTTTCATCCCGGCCAACAGTCCCGATTTGAATCCAATCGAAAATGTTTTTGGAATAGTCAAAAGAAATTGGCACAAGGCTAAAAAGACTCTTTCAATGCACGACAAATTGGATTTCATACTCACTAATTACATTTTACTATCCGCCAAAGACAACCTCGTCATGCCTATGTCTGACAGACTTTCTGCCGTTTTTAATTAGAATGGACAATCAACAAAGTACTGCTTTTTGTATCTGTTTCTGTCCTTAATTATTTTTGCCCTTTTACGCGCCCGCCTTTTTATACGTCCTCATACGTAGCCATTATTAACTTGGTTGTAATATAGGCGTTTCTCGAAAATGTGACTTCTGTCGAAAATTAATTATTTTCATCTCAGTAAATAACATTTTCTAATTCAAACTTTGCTTTCTTTGACACATCTTTTATTTTCCGTTATCAGACTTTGGGAGCCGTAGTGTTTAAGGATTCTGCGTTAAGGTTGTTTACCTGTGTTAATTCATGACACTTCATGAGTTAGCACAGGTACTGCATTACCATTCATATCAACCTTGATCGTGGTAAATGAAGTTTCGAGAATAATGTGTTACCGAAATGTGTTTCATACAAGCCCACGATTAGCACGAATTTGGCGAGACGTGTAGTATTTCAGGGCGACAGAAGTATGATCCAAGTCCTCTTCCAAGATTGCCACGTGGGACTTCACAAGCACCGTAAAAGTATTGACCAAGTAAAGACCAGATGCTGTGAGTTCATGGGCGAGATCAGTACAAATCTGCCCCTGCATAGGATAGCTGAACAAGCCCGCGAACAGAGAATGATAGGCGACGCAGCACTGGAGAACAAATTTCGAAAGCTGCCCAATCCAACGTCGCCCACCAACAACAAAATTGTGCACTACCTTTCGTCAAGGGAGCTGACGAAGGATCAGATGCTGGTTTTACGCCACGAAGATTGTCACACGGAGGCAACGAAGGAGACCGAGAGCCTCATCCGACACCAAGTGGCGCCGCTCCTAATGGCCCACAGGTCGCGGGAAGTGCTTTCCAAGGTCGAACGTGATGCGCTTAGAGATCTCAAGGCCGAAAAAGACATGATCATCGTGCTAGTGGACAAGGGGCGCTCCACAGTTGTACTCGACAAGACAGACAACCTTCAAAAAAGCAGACGTTTACTGGAGGACGGACAGTTTTATGCCCTATGTGCAACGAACCACTTAAAAGCGCTGACATACAAAATTACTGCTATGTTGTTGGTCTTGGAGAACTGAAGTGCAATAACACCGACCGACAGACGCATGGCGAGATCCCAAGATACGGCTTTGGCCCGATCCTATGGTCTCCCTAAGGTGCACACAGACGGCGCTCCTCTCCGACCCATCGTGTCACCCAAGGATACTCCAAAGTTCGGACTGGCTAAGCGGCTGTTCCGGCGTCTCAAGTTCCTGACCGCTGAGTCAGACACCACGGTCTCTTCGTCAGCAGAATTCGTGGAGAAACTCAAAGGGGTAAACCTCCATTGAAATGAGGTCATGGTATCCTTTGATATTACATCCATTTTTACTTCTATTTCCCAGGACCTGGTGATCGAGACAATCCAGATGCTTCTACAAAGTAAATACGATCAAACGGAGAATCGTCTTGGACGCGCTCAAGACCTTCAGCTCCTGAAGTGTTGTATCAGGAGGTACTTCACGTTCGAAGGGACAATCTACGAACAGGTGGAGGGCGCACCAATGGGTTCGCCGATTTCGGGATTCATCGCCGAGGCGGTCCTGCAACGGTTAGAGTCGCTGGCCTTCCAACACCGCAAACCGAATTTCTGGGCCCGGTATGTGGATGATACCTTCGTCGTTATCGTCCGGGATATCAACTGCTGACATTCAAGGAACGTCTGAATGCGGTCTTCCCAAACATACAATTTACGATGGAGGAGGAAGTGAACAATCAGCTGCCCTTCCTGGATGTCCTCGTATGCCGCAAGAATTGTGATGGACTAAAGACAAAAGTGTTCAGGAAAGGGACAAATACGATGCAAATACTGAACTTCAATAGCAACTACCCAATCAGCCACAAACGCAGTTGTGTCTGGACGCTCTATCGGCGTGTCGAAACGCACTGCTGTGAGACGGAAGACAAGATTGCCGAATTACAATAACTCCGAAGGGTATTCAAAGCCAATGGCTACCCACGAAAATTTGTCAACCGGTGCATATGCAAAGGGGACAAAGGCCTAAATGCACGGACACCAAATCTTGGCGGGCGCTTCCGTATGTCAAGAACGTTTCGGACGTTTCGGGCCACCTTCTCGCACCACTTGGGGTTTGAGTTGCACACAGACCGGAGGCAACGATCAGGCGTCTGGTCATGAAACCGAAAGACCCGCTGCCTCGGCTAGAAACGTCTGGAGTCGTTTATCGGATCTGGTGCAGTTGCGGACAGAGTAACCACGTCGGAGAAACTGGAAGACAGCTCCGAACGAGAATGGTCGAACACGCTGCAGCGGTGCGAAGAAATGACGCCAGCTCTCGAGTTACGACTCACTCGAAGAGATCTGCCCACACATTCAAATTCGACGAGGCGGAAATTGTCGCAAGAGGTGACACTTGCGTGAGCCGGGAGCTACTAGAACCATGGTTTACTGGCCCCCAGTCAACTAACAAGTGTAGTGAACTTCCCCTTCCATACGCTGTGCTGAAACTTCGCCTAGGCGGAGTAATTAGCCACGGGGGAGCGCACGTGTGAACACTTGTCCCAACACCAGGGTCGATGCGTCAGATGGTCGAGCAATCATCATACCAACATCCAACGCACGTGATGGAACTGCAGCAATGAACGACATGTACGTCGACCGTCATCAATTATCGCACCAGGTGCAACGATCCCGGATGAAGGGGGGAGCCGTGAATGTTCATAGGTATGCGTTAGCATGGCGACTGCATCCTATAAATACTGCAGCCCCTAGTGCGTGAATCAATCGTATCTGCTGTTGTCTTTGATGATGGATTCGAGCAGAAATCCGAAACCTCAGGCTAATAATGCTTTGGTCTCAGTGGTCGTGTCTCCTTCTTCGAACCTTCTTCCTGGGACTTGTCTCTTCGCTTCTATCGGCAATATTCCGTATTTGCTCACACGGCTACTTTCCTACGTTTATCGGGACTCCAGGTGGCTGCTTTTTATTCCACAATCCAATTTGCAACGGATGAAATGTAATCACCTTTTGGAGTCTAAACGTGATAATTACTCGGCCATTTGACTTAATGTTACTGAGGTTGTCGATAGACATTGACTTTCGCGCAGGGCTAATTCTTCTACTCAGGTAAAGTCCCAGTACAGGACGTCTGGCCAGAAGTCCATATGCTTGATGCTCAACTGGGTCCAGCGGGTCAGGTATTAAGCACCTCGTAGCTCACGCGGGTGGCGTCTCTTGCAAGAATTTTGGTCTCACCAAATTTAGAGGTGTGGTTGAGTGCTGCCCAGCAAACCGCGACTTATGAGTATCGTCATTTTGCGCATTTGCGTCCAAAGAAGCCTTCCAGTTTCTCCAACGTAACAGCCTGTCCACAACGGCACCAGATCTAATAAAATACGTTTCTTCGGCCTCATAAGCTGGCTCTGGAGGGCCTCTCCGACTTGTAGTCAACTCAACCTCCCATTGATGTCAACAGAATGCTGACGTGTTCTAAGATTATTTTCACGTACGAAGGCGCTGGTAAAAATTTCGAATCGGTTGAATTGCGTCTTATATCACAGACGGACATACTGGACATTGTATGTGGAGGATGCCTATGTCCTCATTATAACGGATCAGGTAGTGGCACGCAAAGCGCACATCAATCACATTCACCAGGATGAACAAATTACGGCAGGGGAGAAAGAGAAATACCAGCCGATCATTCTCGGTCTCCTCTGCCTTTGCAAACACTGGGTTGACCTTTAGACTGTACTTACCAGGAAAGCGGCTAAAACGACGCCAATACTGCAGTTTAACAGCAACCACCAAAGTGGTCACAAATACAGTTACGTAGAGGCGCTATAACGGTGCCTTGTCACACATTACAGTAGTCCACAAAAACAGCAGCTGAAGAACTCTGTCTTGGGCAGGTATTTGGAGTACATGCGTACTCCAGCACATTTGTCAAGCGATGCCTACACAAAAAGGACGACATACAATTTTGTAAAGTTCTTTTATACATTAAAGGGAAATATGTGTTCCAGAACACAACCTATGAGAATGATGTTTAATCAGCTGATTCTGCATAAATATGTAATGTTGTTGCATTTCATTTTATAGGCAACTGACCACGCTGAGAACAAGTGCTCGAACAGGCCACACAATATCTGTCGAATTTGTGAGGTTTTATCTCGTTGGTAATCAAAAAATCGGTGATATTTCGATAGAAAGCAGCTCGGATTAGGGCAACCAATTAGTCATTTAGACAAGCAAGGCAATCTACAACTCATTATCAGAATGTGTGGTAAGTATATTGTTTAAATGCTCCGCCTTTAACGTGTCTCTTATCCTTAGCTTTTCCTATATTTGATAAGAACCCAAACGCCAAGTAAGTCTTATTTAAATTTCATCCATCATATGTCCTCTTTTATATGCTTTTTGAAATCTGTCTTTTCATGCTTAGCGGCGTATAAGGACAGTATTGTTCTGGGCACTCTTGGCATGAATATTTATATCTGACAGTCGTGAAAGGTCGAGACATTATTTCTGCTCTTAAATAGTATTCCGCTTGTAAAATTTTGGAATCGTTTGGGTTGCGCTTTATATCACAGATCGAAATGCAGGAGGTTGTATGTGGAGGATGCCATTGTTGTCATAAAAAAGGATCAGGTAGTGGCACTCAACTGGATTCACCAGGATAAACGAATTAAGACAGTTGACAAAGAGAACAAGCAGGCGGTCATCATTGGCGTCATGGTCTGTGGCAAATACCGGGGTCCTCTAAGAACTGGGATTTTCAGGAAAGCGGCCAATATGACGCCAGTAATGCAGTTAAACAGAAACCACCAAATCAGTCACATACGTAGTTACGTAGAGGCGCTATAAAGGCGCCTTGCTACAGTGTACAGTAATTCGAAAGAAAAAAAACAGCCAAAATACAATGTCATTGGTACGTGTTTGAAGTGAATGCATACTCCAGCCCCTGCGTCAATCGATGTCTGCGAAAAAAGGACGAGAGCTTATTTTGTAAAGCTCTATCGTACATAGAAGCAAACTTTGTGTTCCAGAAAGAAAAATGTGGGAATAATGTTCAATCACTTGATTCAGCAACAGAATCGAATGTTTCCGTCTTTCATTTTAAATGCAGTTGACCGCGCTCGGAACGTGTGCTTGAACAGGCGACACAATATCTGTCGAACCGTAATATGTGTTCATGAGAAACAAATAAATAAAATGAAATAATTATATTAAAGACCTATCGGCGTCCCTTCTTAGCAAGGAAAATGAAATGTTACTTGATTATTCAACTTACCGGCAATACTGGCGGTGTCGCTTGCCACAACAATAGTGGCTTTTGTCGTTTGTCGGCAAACCGTCTTTGAAGGCCTAGCCGTGGTATATTGTGGCCAGAGTGTAAAATCCGCCTCTGCGCGCGTATGTGAACACCGGTTGGCAATACAGTGGCGAAACCACCAGTCCGAAGTAGGCATTCATGCCATAGACACTGGGCACAACATTGTTTGGGACGAAGATTGCATTGTCGCCGTCTGTCCTTTCAAGAAATGTCGAAAGTTCCTGGGTCTGTGCACTCAGATGAAATATGCATCAACCGGCATATCGAGTTGGATGCCGTTTGCAAAAGCCTTAAGGAGAAATGGAAGAAAAAGAACCAATCAGATTAATGTGATACACACTGCGGCCGCACAAAAGCCAAGCAAGTATTGCTTTTAGATGTTCTTTGTACTCACATTTACTTTCCGTCTGCGTCTGACGACGACATGGGAAACTAGTATCGACAAGTCACGCAATAAAGCTTCTTCTCACAAAAAACCTATTTCACATCGACATATATAAAGTTGGATGAATATTTTCATAGATAGGTGTTTGTGTCCGTGGCACGAATATTCACGAGTGCAACTTGACTTTTCCAGAGGAACTCTCATTATTTTCATAAATGCACATAAACATCAAAGGTACTGTACCGTACACCCGACATAGGTAGCGACCAGTACTCATATCGGGAGTACGGTATAACAGCATTGCCATAGATATTACATGCTACTCGATATACCAATCCGTTGTAGAATGTCATCCATGGTTTTACCTAAGCAATCGATGGCGCTCGACTCCAAATTGATGAAATGTCGAATCTGACTCAAAACATGCATGCCCTGCACTGAGTGATTTGTGACATATTTCACTTTACACAAATATATATTGGCATATATATATCAAAAAATGTATTATTAGTTGATGCACTGCAAAGGTTTAGGTCTACGGCTCATTAATTTTAGCGTTAAGATTGCGAAATATGGTTATGACGCCAAAATGAAATGACCTGGATAGTAACAACTATGTCCTGCACCGTGTTATTCCTGAAATTATCACCTTAATTATTCTCAGAAGTTCAAATGCCAAAACCTCATAAAGAACTCTGGGGGTCCCACTGTGGAGCGAACCCCTCGCAGCGGCAGAATATCGGCGACACAGGTATCTGGTCGTTTCGCCAGTACCTATGACTGGAGTACGATATAATACTTTATATACAGTAGATGGGCTAACCCATGAAATGTCAAATGAAATTTCGAAATGCGTTCTCGATTCGAAAGGATTAATTCAGTAAGGCTATAAACCTTATATTTCGGCAGTATAAATTTATAATAATTTCGTTACATCAGAATGCCGGCTTTTGAATAAATTTCCTTA